ATCTTTGACGTACCGATCCCATGGCATAGTGTTTATGAACTGACACGCAAAACGACACCGGATTCAAAAATTAGAATCTTTCAATTTAAATTATTATATAAAATTCTTGCTACCAATAGAATGTTATTTATATGGGGGATACAATCTTCCCAGCTCTGCAGGTTTTGCTGTGAAGAGACAGAATCATTAGATCATTTGTTTTGGTTCTGTCCATTTGTAGCTTGTTTTTGGAAACAGGTCCAGGAATGGCTAAAGGATTGCAATATTTACCTGGAACTAACCTTGCAGATAGCATTACTGGGTGATCTGAAAAATCATAGTCAATCAATCAATAATATAATAATACTTTTAGCAAAAATGTTTATTTTTAATTCACAATCTGTAGAAGCAATGAGAATAGAAAGGTTCAGAATTTTTGTAAAACATCACAGTATGGTCGAAATATATATGGCAAATAGAAATCCTATATGGATGGTGTTAAGAGATAGATGGGAGGTATTGAATAGAGTTGAAGGATGGGACTAATAACAAATAACAAAAAATAATAACAAAGATAGCTAATAATGTAAGCATACTGTGTCCATAATAAGTATATAGGTTGTATGTTGGGAACTTGTGGGAAGGAGCACAGTTAGAAAGATATGGCATATAGAAGTAAACCGGATGGACACCATGAAAATGATCGGAGAGGTTGAGAGTAGAAGAAGTTCAGGAGCAAAAAAATAATAATATATATATATATATATATATATATATATATATATATATATATATATATATATATATATATATAATATAATTATTGTAAAATTAACTCTGTCCATAAGGTGTAGATAGTAAGTATAGACCGGAAGTAGAGGCCTGGGCATTGTTGTTCACTAATTTACTCCAAGTAGGGAAAGGATGGTGGGGTTGAAAAGTAATAAAGGGGAGTATATATATAAAAAATAAAAAAACATGGGGGATTGGAAGTGATGTAGACAATTACATTGATAGAAGATACAATCTATCTGCAATATTAAGCTGATCCATTCCCCCTAAAAAAAAATAATAATAATAAAAATAAAATAATAAGAGAGAAAGAGAATAGAGGAGTCATGAGTGGAACACTGAAACAAACATCAGAACACAGACACTGATAGTGTAGCGGGTTGGACTCACCTCATGTCCTTCAGGTTGGAACAGGCCTGGCTGAGACTGACTACACTGGCAGCACACCTCTCTGTCAAGCTGCTCACCATCAGAGTTATTTTCTCCAGAGAGGTTTCATGGTGTAGTAGCGAAATCAGTGCTTCAGCATGCTCATCCCACTCTGGACTGGTAGAGGTCATTCATATGACACAAACACACAAACACAGACACTAATCAAATCATGATAAAGAAAATATTTGACATACAGTTTTTTTTGTTTTTTTGTGCAGACTATACAATACATGAATGTACTGTGGATATTTTATTGAAGCCAGTAGTCCTTACTGTTGAGTGGGAAATAGCTGAAAGATGCTTCTCAAGTCAAATACAGGATTGCCAGATAGGGTTAATTCAATGCATCTGACTGCTCTGTGGAACAGTAGAGCTTCACTCCAACTTTCGCAATCATTTAAATCGCTGTGTTCAATAGTGAACCTGAAATCCAAGGTACATTATTTTAATCCTGTACACATGAATGTATACCAATGTATGATTATTCAGTCTTGCCACAGTATGTTGAGCAAAGTTATCACTATATGGCAACAAGTCACATATCAAGGATTTTTAAATGATATGTAATGCAATTCATCAGTGAAAGGTTCAAGGTTCAGTGTTAGGTATTTGAGATTAGCTAAATTAGGAAGTATAGCTTTCTAAGACTCCCTCACCTTAACTTGTCTACAGGGTGGATGATTGCTATATGGCAGCAAGTCACATAAAGGATTTTTAAATGATATGTCATGCAATTCATCAGTGAAAGGTTCAAGGTTCAGTGTTAGGTATTTGAGATTTGCTAATTGAAGAAGTATAATCTAGACTCCCTCACCTTAACTTGTCTACAGGGTGGATGATTGCACGCAGGTCATCCACGTCAGTGTCTCTAATAGGTCAGCCTCACAGCACACAGCCAACCTGTCATCAGGAACAAATAAATATATTTATTTACTTTGTTATTTAGCAGACCCTCGTATCCAGAGCAACTTATAGGAGCAATTCGATTTTTCACCTAGTCGGACCGTGGATTCAAACCAGCAATCTTTTGATTACTGGCCCAACGCCCTTAACCGCTAGGCTACCGCCCTACTTCTACACATTACTCAAAACCTCATAGTAGGATGATAAACTGTTGTTTATTTGTGATACAGTATCACTTCTTTAGTTAAACTCGAGTGCAACAAGTAGGCTAAAGAGTATTGGTAAATCACAGCTGTGTTTCTTTATACGGGTTCGAAGCCGGGTCTCCTGCGCATCACAAGACTGGGTTTGCATTGTGAGCTAAAGCCTAGGCATTAGCATGGGGAGACCAAAGCAAGTAGTCAGGTCTCAGACAAGGTTACTCATCACTTGAATTTGCCTCACTAAACCACCTTCATTGCATGTACAATACATTCATATATCCACCGTTAAAAACATTTCAATACATTCACAGACTTCACAACACACTGTGTGCCCTTAGTCCACAACTACCACATATCTACAGTACAAAATCCATGTGTACGTGTGTGTATAGTGCGTATGTTATCGTGTGTGTATGTATGTGTCTGTGCCTATGTTTGTGTTGCTTCACAGACTTCGCTGTTCCATAAGGTGTTTTTTTATCTGTTTTTTAAATCTATTTTTACTACTTGCATCAGTTACTTGATGTGGAATAGAGTTCCATGTAGTCATGGCTCTATGTACAGTCATGGTCAAAAGTTTTGAGAATGACACAAATATTAATTTTCACAAAGTCTTCTGCCTCAGTTTTTATGATGGCAATTTGCATATACTCCAGAATGTTATGAAGAGTGATCAGATGAATTGCAATTAATTGCAAAGTCTCTCTTTGCCATGAAAATGAACTTACTCCCCCCAAAAAACATATCCACTGCATTTCAGCCCTGCCACAAAAGGACCAGCTGACATCATGTCAGTGATTCTCTCGTTAACACAGGTGAGAGTGTTGAAGAGGACAAGGCTGGAGATCACTCTGTCATGCTGACTGAGTTAGAATAACAGACTGGAAGCTTTAAAAGGAGGGTGGTGCTTGAAATCATTGTTCTTCCTCTGTTAACCATGGTTACCTGCAAGGAAACACGTGCCGTCATCATTGCTTTGCACAAAAAAGGACTTCACAGGCAAGGATATTGCTGCTAGTAAGATTGCACCTAAATCAACCATTTATCGGATCATCAAGAACTTCAAGGAGAGAGGTTCAATTGTTGTGAAGAAGGCTTCAGGGCGCCCAAGAAAGTCCAGCAAGCGCCAGGACCGTCTCCTAAAGTTGATTCAACTGCGGGATCAGGGCACCACCAGTGCAGAGCTTGCTCAGGAATGGCAGCAGGCAGGTGTGAGTGCATCTGGCCCCGTCCATCGTCCCTTTGATGCGGTGAAGTTGTCATGTCCCCTTAGCAGAAAAACACCCCCAAAGCATAATGTTTCCACTTCCATGTTTGACGGTGGGGATGGTGTTCTTGGGGTCATAGGCAGCATTCCTCCTCCTCCAAACATGGCGAGTTGAGTTGATGCCAAAGAGCTCGATTTTGGTCTCATCTGACCACAACACTTTCACCCAGTTCTCCTCTGAATCATTCAGATGTTCATTGGCAAACTTCAGACGGGCCTGTATATGTGCTTTCTTGAACAGGGGGACCTTGCGGGCGCTGCAGGATTTCAGTCCTTCGCGGCGTAGTGTGTTACCAATTGTTTTCTTGGTGACTCTGGTCCCAGCTGCCTTGAGATCATTGACAAGATCCTCCCGTGTAGTTCTGGGCTGATTCCTCACCGTTCTCATGATCATTGCAACTCCACGAGGTGAGATCTTGCATGGAGCCCCAGGCCGAGGAAGATTGACAGTCCTTCTGTGTTTCTTCCATTTGCGAATTATCGCACCAACTGTTGTCACCTTCTCTTAAGAGTGTGCTCCTAATATCAGCTCGTTACCTGTATAAAAGACACCTGGGAGCCAGAAATCTTTCTGATTGAGAGGGGGTCAAATACTTATTTCCCTCATTAAAATGCAAATCAATGTATAAAATTTTTGACATGCGTTTTTCTTGATTTTTTTGTTGTTATTCTGTCTCTCACTGTTCAAATAAACCTACCATTAAAATTATAGACTGATCATTTCTTTGTCAGTGGGCAAACGTACAAAATCAGCAGGGGATCAAATACTTTTTTCCCTCACTGTATAATGCCTTATGAGCAATGCATAAAGCATTGTGATGCATGGCATACAGTAGTTGCTAATAACTGCTCACAGACATCTATGACTACACTTCATTTACATTTGAGCCATTTAGCGGAAGCTCTTATCCGGAGCGACTTACAGCTAATAGATTCATGCTAGTTGCGACAACCACATATCACATATCACAGTCATAGTAAGTGAAACTTGTAAGTCAAGTGCAAGTGCAAGTTTTTTTCAATGGAAGAATTACCACATTCATAGAGCATTATGACCAAGGCTGCATAATGTCTTATGAAGCAAAGCGTTATAATACCCTTATAGGAAACGCTCAATATTGCATTATATGGGCTCATCAAGGGGTATATTCTAATTCCCCTGTGCATCCTGGAATGCATGTTACTCTGTCTTACACACCAAACATGACGGTGGAACCCCTCTTCACTTCTCAATGAGCATTTCATATTGGGCATTATAACACTTTGTTTCATAAAACATTGTGCTGCCTGCTCGGATGCAGTCTTTTCAATTGAATTCATTAAAATTATATATTGTATGATATATTATCAGTTGACTGGGAGTTACATTAAAAGTTCTTAGACTTACTCTATGCTTTCATGTGCCTTACTGATGAGGAACATTAATTTGTCTGCTGTATTACTGGTGATGTATTACTTTCAATGTTTCTGGGTTTGTGTTTAGTGAGAGCAACAAACAAGTCCTGCACTTTCTCATCAGAGAAGTTGTTCTCAGTCAGACTGAAAAATACAGACAAATTGGAGTTAGGTACAGAAAACACCCTTTGAAAAGAGAGCAACATAAACAGTCCCTCTAAAAACATCCAGAGAGTAACAAGAAACATTCCTTCTAAAAACATCCAGAGAGTAACAAGAAACATTCCTTCTAAAAACATCCAGAGAGTAACAAGAAACATTCCTTCTAAAAACATCCAGAGAGTAACAAGAAACATTCCTTCTAAAAACATCCAGAGAGTAACAAGAAACATTCCTTCTAAAAACATCCAGAGTAACAAGAAACATTCCTTCTAAAAACATCCAGAGAGTAACAAGAAACATTCCTTCTAAAAACATCCAGAGGGTAACAGAAACATTCCTTCTAAATGCAATATATCTTTATCAAACAAATATATTAATCTGGTTATCAAACTTAATGAAGGATGTTCTTTGTTGAAGGTTTGTGTGAACCAGCACTAATAACAGACTAGTGTGGTTTGAATAATGTTGTTTCAAAGTAGTAGACTGATGGTAGAAATGTTATTGAGAAATTATCATTCATATAATTTGTATTAACTGAGCTGAGGTTGTTGATGTTGCTATAGAGATATACTAAACTAAAAGACTGTTGGTGGTAATTATATTGAAAATATCATGTGATTCTTACTCCAGCTCCAAACTCTTTCCCTCTCCCAGCGCTGTCAGCAGATCATCTAAATCATCATCGGCTAGGTCGTCCACCTGCAACCTACAAACAGTGTCCCAAAAACAACCAATTGAGTGACTGAAATGTCTGAAATAATTAATTAAATTAAAGTTTAAATTAAAAAGAAATATCCATGTCCAAACTAAACATTTTGGCTACATTATGAGATTGCAAGAGAAACATTATACTAAATTAAATCAGTTTACATTATTCTTGGGTGAGAAAGGGAAATGCAAGAATACTCACACAAGATCTTTACATTTTCGCAACCCTGGTAAAAGTATTTTCATGTTCTCTGCAGTTAAGTTGCACCCACTCAGACCAATACTTTCAATGGAATTGCAGTGCTGAAGACAATACATCAACACCCAACAGTCTGTGTTTGTCAGGGGAGTCCCGGTCAGATGAATGTCTGTGTATGTTTTCATGGCTTCCTTAACAAAATCATCTGCATGGAGCTCATACAGACAGTGAAATGTGAAAACGGCATTGAACATCTAACGATTTGATCCTCATTTCCTTTTTCAGTGACTTCAAGAATAAAATGTTTGAGCTGGGTCCAAGGATCTGACACTGTCTGTGAGACACTATCATGGTCAAATAAGACTTGCTGCTCTTCCATTCCCTTTTCTGCCAGCTTGCCACGTCCTTGGAGGATAGTAGGAGCTGACTGACCCATATCCTGACTGTGATGCTTCAACAGAGTGGCAACAAATTCAACAAAGATGGAGGTGGTGGTCTCCAGCGATTGGATCATCTCTGTGCCTTCTTCAAACTGCTCCCTATAAACTGTGCAAATGATCCAGCAGATGACTGGAATGAAACATGCGGTGAAAAGTGTTTCATTTTTTCTCACAGTGTCATAGGCTTGCTGTGAGTGTTGCTCATTCTTGAAGAATCTCTGGAAGTATTCCTCCACCCCCTCTTTAGAAAAGCCCACTATCTCAGCATATCTCACTGGATTTTTTGACCACTCCATTCAGTTTGTCCAGCGCTGTGGACCTGGTGGTGACAAGCAGGAAGGACTCGGGGTAAGATCTGCTTTCGTATCAGGCCACTCAGTGTCTCTTCGGGGGAGCACTGTGTCCACGGGTCCCTGGGAAGGGAGTCTTTCGGTACATCAAGCGGGAATTTGAGCTCATCAAAGCCGTCTACCAGGAAGAGAACCCTCTCAGGAGACTGGCGAAGGACCTGCTTGATCATTGATGATAAACTCTGATCATAGTTCAGCAGATCCATCACACTTTTATTTCCAGTGGCCTGGTTTAGCTCTTTGCACCTCAGGTGAAAAACAAAGTCCAATCGGTCTTGATAAAGTCTCTCACGTGCCCAGTCAGACATGATCTTCTGTGTGGTAAATGACTTGCCTGTCCCAGAGTGGCCCTGCAGTATAACAGTTCTCTGAATGTCTCCATGCTCGTCTGGGTCAAACAGCCTCTCCACTTTGGTGCTCTTGTAGGCCTTGCTGTCCCTCTGGCCCATGACTTGATAAAAGTTCTGTCCTCTGGAGCGGATCTCCTCCTCTCTCTCTCTCTGCTGACGGTGTTTCTGGATGATCAGGGGCTCAGTGTAGCGGTCGTGTTCTCCAGGGAGAGAGTTGTACTCCTGCACTGTGGCACATTCACCTCTGATGACGTTCTTGAACTTAAGGCTTATTCTGCTTTTATTGTCTACACATTGATACAATAACAGAAAGGCCATTCATCATTTTACAAATTTTTTTCTGTTGAAAACAGTGTTTAAATCATATTAATTGAATCATATTAATTTAACAACATTTAAAAAGGCTTACCTCGTTCATCTCTTTGTTTGATGTGGAATTCTATATAAATGATACCAATGATGAACAAATACCTCACATTAAAGTCTTGTTACAGTACAAGTCTTCGCACAAGATATTGTTATGGCAGACACTGACTACATCCTAACAATCCATTGAAAATCTTAACACACAACAGTCAATTTTCAAATTTGCAACAGTCAGTTTGGGCAGGGCTCTGTTTCGCAACTTGGCTCTCAGGATTACATGTCTGTGTACATCTTCACTCACCCAAGTCCTGGACCAGATTTTTTTTTATTTCTGCAAAATATGTGTATTTAGTCTCAGTAGGCCATAAATTAATTTTTGTTTGCATTACTTAAGCTTGGATATATAATGCATCGCAAGCATCTCAACCACGATGCATCTCAACCTGCCGGTTGAGTTGCCCAATTAGAGTATACGAACTTTGGATTGGAATTAGTATAGACTTTTTAAATCTAAAATATTATACATTAATTTACACTATGTCTGCTTAATTTACTGTACCTTTAATGGAATAATAAATGGATAAATGAGGATGGATATCAAATATGATACATTTGTGTGTTGAAATATGAATATTCAAATGCATGTAAATTAATGCATTTACAGTTTATATGCTTAGAATACCAGTACAATTACATGTACTGAATGATATTGTGAAAGATATTGAAGATTTCCTCACGTTCACTTCCTGGTTTTCAACCATCTTTGAATGTGTGTTTAAAAAAAATATGGGAGTCCGATAATGAAAACAATATGATAATTTTACTAAATGGCGTTGGTTGAGATGATAAAACATGCCAAATAAAATGTATATGTTTACTTTTATTTTAAATTGGTTTAAAATAAGCGCCTGGTTGAACTGCCTGTTAAAAAGGTTAATAATGGAACGTGTCATCTTGGTTGATTATCTTTCCATCTTGGTTACAGGAGTAGGCTACGTGTGTTCCGTGAATTGCAAGAACAGATTAGGGAAAACTCAGAATTCTGCTCAGTTCAAGAGCTGACCACAAGATGGTACTGTAGGCTACTACTTTGACACGTCACAGTCAGGAGACACAATAAACACAATAAAGTGGTACTGTATAATAAACAGAAGACTACACAGCTTCTAGTAGTTGGTAGAGTTTGGTATGAGGGCTTTGGCGTGGGTCGGGGTTGGACTTAGCCTGCTGGCAGGTCCAACCCCAGGCCGTAGGCAGAGGTTGTGCTGGCCCTGCTGCTGGCGGGGGCAGCCCCTGGTAGTGAACCGAGGTTGAGCTATATTTGGAGTATAGGTGTATTTGACAGTTATTAAGAATTTTTAAAAAGCGAGGACTAAGGCACTCTTAATAAAATTAAAATGACTTCATTGTTCAAAGGAGGAAAAAAATCCATGCAAAGACTTTTTCAATGTTTGGTCCATTGAACTGTAACAATAATTATCTGAAGTATGTATTTTAGATGAACCTTCTATCTACAAATATCTACTATTCTGTAATAGCAGAGCTTCCTTTCCTTCTTTTCTCCTACAAGATATTAAGACTAGTTCACTTATTTCAGGTTGAAATTTCTGTTTTTCTTTGACTCTCTGTGGCCCACAAATGCACAAATGCACAATGTCAGTCCATTTTCTTTTGTCCCAGTTTTCTACAGATGTCTTATTTTACTTTATCCTACCGGAGTAATCACACTATCATGTTCTAACCTGTTTCCAATACATTTTAACTGTAGTCCTTAAATAAAACACTATACTAAAAACCAAACATGCTCTGAAATGTACTCCAAGCTAGCTTTTTCATGTGTTTGTGAAAGAAAAGATGGAGTGGGATACATTTTTAACATATTACAATCTGATTACAATTCAAATACATAACAATAAAATCTGTTATTGTGTAATTACTGTATGTCCAACACATACTTAAACATGTACATTTCTGGTTGGGTACTCACCCCTCATAAACAAAGTTAAAGGTGCGGTGTGAAAATGTAGCTTCCTGATCTTTATGAGTGTAGCGTTTTGACAGGCAGGACGTGCTCTTCCTTTACAGTCGACATTCCTGTTTAACTCGTTCCGGGAGGTTGTGGAAAAAGGGGTTAGGAGATCTCTGTCATATACAGACTGATTAGACAATGACAACCTGTCCATAATGTGAAAATAAGAGGACCGTATGCCTCATTTGATAATAAAGTTAAGATCACAATATTTTGTAATGGCGTAACACCATATTGGGATTGGTAAACATTGCTCAATCAATTTGTTATAAAACAGAAACACAAGTGTTACAAATACAGTAGACAGTAAGTGCTTGTTGTTATTACGTTCCCTAACTGAGACTACTGTATATGCAATACATTCACCGGTAGAGTTATGTGTAGCCTACCAATGTAATTGCCTGCTTTCCAAAGACAAAAAGTAAATAAAGATATAAAATGCATTCAAATGGCTGCAACGATATGGTAATATGAATATAAGACTAATGTGAATATTTCCCATAACAGATTTATCAAAACACAGGTTACAAACCATCTATCAAAGATCTAACTATAATTGTGGTGATCATACGGGTCATCTCAGAGGTAGCAAGGTTAACTGACACATCATCTTTTAAAGCATAATAGTTAGCTGTAGAACATCATCTAACAAATTGCACCAACACGCCTACCTATAGTGTTCTCTATGTTGGTTCAAAATTATATGTTGATTGAGAAGAAAACGACAAATGACATTGCCCTTATCAATCTATGTATAAACCTTCTATTTTAATGTGGTGGAATAATGTGAGATTATGGCAGTGGTTGTATGGTTGGCTGTATGGCAGTGGTTGTATGGTTGGCTATATGGCAGTGGTTGTATGGTTGGCTGTATGGCAGTGGTTGTATGGTTGGCTGTATGGCAGTGGTTGTATCTTGCTAAATGGACCAACATCATATGTGTTTTGCATGTTGTTATAGTGCCTTCAGAAATTATTAACACCCCTCGACTTTTTCCACATTTTGTTGTGTTACAGCCTGAATTTATAATGGATTAAATGGAGATTTTGTGTCACTGATCTACACACAACACCCCATAATGCAAAGCGAATTATGTTTTTAGAAATGTTTGCTAAATTAATTAAACATGAAAAGCTGAAATGTTTTCAGTCACTAAGTATTCAACCCCTTTGTTATGGCAAGCCTAAATAAGTTCAGGAGTAAACATTTGCTTCTACTGGCAAGACCTGAAAATTACTGTCTAGCAATGATCAACAACCAACATGACAGAGCTTGAAGAATTTTAAAAATAATAATGGTCAAACATTGTACAATCCAGGTGTGCAAAGCTCTTAGAGACTTACCCAGAAAGACTCACAGCTGTAATTGCTGCCAAAGGTAATTCTAACATGTATTGACAGTGTGTTGAATACTTATCTAATGAAGTTATATTAGTGTTTTATTTTCTATTAAATAAAAATTTTTTAGACTTTTTCTTCCACTTTGACATTAGAGTACTTTGTGTTGATCGATGACAAAAGATGACAATTTGTCACGGTTTCGGCCGAGGCTGCTCCTCCTCCTGGTTCGGGCAGGCTTCGGCGGTCGTCGTCCCCGGAGTACTAGCTGCCACCGATCTATGTTTCATGTTCGTTTGGTTTTGTCTTGATGTTGTACACCTGTGTCTTGTTAGTCCTCGTTAGTGTCCTATTTAGTTCTCGTTGTGTGTGATTGTCTTTGTGTGTGATTGCTCTTCTGTTTTGTGTTGGAGCTACGTACTTCCCTCCAGTGTTTTGGAGAGGTTTTTCGCACATGTTAGTGCGCCGTTTGTTTGACGCCTGTGTGCGCCGTTATTTTGCCTTCGGGCTTATTGTGCTTATTTTCTACGTGAATATTGCACTAAAGTCTTTTGGACTGAGCTTCTGCGTCCTGCGCTTGATTCATGCACCACACCCACCTTCAGCACCCCTTGACAGAATCACACACCAAAATGGAATCAGCAGGATCTGCAGTTACGCCTGAGTCGCTCGAGGAGCATGTTCGCGGCCAAGATGACCAGATACGACAACTGGGGACCGCTCTACAGGACGTCATCAACACCCTGCACCGATGGGAGGCCAGCGGGGTACCCACACCTCCACTTACCCTGCCAACCCCATCGGCCGGTCCACCAGTCCCAGGTCCGGAACCCAGAGGGATTCGGCTCTCGCTCCCGAGGGCGTATGACGGAACAGCTGCCGGGTGTCAGGGGTTCCTCCTGCAGGTGGAGCTCTACCTGGCCACTGTACACCCGGTGCCCTCGGGACACGAGAGCGTTTCCGCTCTCATCTCCTGTCTCACGGGCAAGGCGTTGGAGTGGGCTAACGCCGAGTGGAGGAAGATGGACGCCAACACCATCTCCTACGCCGAGTTCTCCCGCCGCTTCAAGGCCGTGTTCGACCATCCACCTGAGGGCAAAGCGGCGGGGGAGCGTCTAGTCCACCTGAGACAGGGGAGGAGGAGCGCACAGGCGTTTGCTCTAGAGTTCCGGACTCTAGCGGCGGACGCAGGGTGGAATGAACGGGCCCTCATCGACCATTTTCGATGTAGCCTACGGGAGGACGTTCAACGTGAGTTGGCCTGCAGGGATACCCATCTCACCTTCGACCAGTTGGTCGATATGTCCATCCGTCTGGACACCCTGCTAGCCACCCGTGGACGTCCCGAGGGGGGTCCGTCCATTCCGCCCTCCGGCACCTCCGAGCCGAGCCCTATGGAGCTCGGGGGTGCCGGCGCTAGAGAAAGGAGGAGGAGGAGCCCGAGGGGGCCTGTCTCCTGCACCAAGTGCGGTCGTGGAGGGCACACTGCGGCCAGGTGCTGGGGAGGGTTCTCCGGGGGAGCAGACAACAGGCCACGCACTGGGGGGGCCTCCCAGGTGAGTAGACATCCCACTTACCCAGAGCTTTCTGTTGCGCACTTTTGTATACCTGTGTGTTTTCCACAGGTTGCACCTCATTCCCAGCATAAGGCGCTAGTAGATTCAGGCGCAGCTGGGAATTTTGTTGATCGGAAGTTTTGTTTAGA